TATATATATATATATATATATATATATATATATATATATGCACTTTTTTCGAGGATCATTGTATATTTACGAAGCACTACTTTAATTAGATAGAATTTCCAATTAACGAGTTCGCCAGTTTGACGGTATTCATGCTTAAACCGTTGAAAAGCGTAACAAAAGAACAAGAAGAAAAAGCAAGTAGCCCTTCATAAATCCTCAACGATACCCGCCGACTCCCATTCGCATTCCACGAACGAATTCAAATTGAACATTTACAAATCGGTGTGGTCATAATGATCATTATTATTAATTACTTATTTCTTTGCTGATACGTAATTTATTATTTTTGTAAAAATCTTTTTCACGTAAGAAGAACCGTCCGAGAATTCGTGTCGTTCGTTCAAAAAGGGTAAATGATGCATTTATTAATTAAAAATCAGTCCAAAAGGGGGTGCACGAGAAAACAAATAATAAAAACTCTGCATTCCGAAAGACAATAATAATTACTATAATACTATTACTACCGCTAATACTATTTACTACTACGATCACACCAACGCCCGTGCCTTATGATCGTATTTACTGTTATATGTTTGCGTGTGTGTTTATTATCTGTCTCTCTGTAACGTTAATACCTATTTCTTTCATGAAGTTAGTCCCAGGCTAGTGGTTTTTTATTTTTGGGTGGTCGAGAAGCGTGACACTAAATTAGCGAAATAATCTGAAACAAAAGAAAAACAAATATAAACGAGTGAAACAACAAATATTCAAAATCCACCGAGAAATGAAAACGCAATTGGACAACATTACTGTCATAATTTACAACATCGACAACAAGTACAATCCAGTAACTACTACTACTTCTACTAGTATTACTTCTACTTCTACTTCTACTTCTACTTCTACTTCTATACTACTACTAATACTACTACTGTTAGTAAAAAAAAAAAGTATTAAACAACCAACAATTACCGCATCAACAACAACATCTTGAAAATATACAAGAACCACAATTTTTCTTTAAATCTTTTACTATGGTCTTCGGTACGGTAAGCTACAACTTTATTCTTGCACTTGGCACTTTTCATTTTCTATTTTTCTATTTATTCTCTACTTACATCTCCCCCTTAATCTCTCTCTCTCTCTCTCTCTTTCTTTTCTCTTTATATATCTTGATTAAGCTAATTTTTGAAAAGAACACTTTTTTATCTTGCTAGAACATCGCGTATATTCGCACTATTTATTTTTATCGTAGTTGCATTTTTAATTTCTCTAATTATTCAATGATATGTATACTAAAATTTATTTCAATATAATTTATGTATGTACATTTTTCTATATCTATTTCTGCTTTTTTTCACTCGGCATGCAAACTTTTGATATTTCTTTTCACCACTCTTCAACAAATTTTCAACAAAAACTACAGCGATGTGGATTAGCGGTTACGTCGATACACGTTTTTTTGATATAAAATATTGCCAGAGTAGCAAATATAAATATTCGTTCAATTGAAATTCAATGAACTCATCTGGGACGATCTTCTAATACTTCCCGCTTGACTTGTTTTCTGGAGCATGCGTAGAACGAGCATCTATGTAATATAACGTGAGTGTTCATCGTTTAAATTGTTATATAATTTCAAAGGTATACATAAAAGAAGTAAAGGAATTTAGCTCCAAGTATAGAACAGATAATTCTGTATCTATAAATACGTACAAGTAGTCAAATTAATTTAGATTAAATATATATATATATATATATATAAGTAAGATAAAATAAAGAAGTTGGAACATAAAGTTTCGCCCCTGTAAATCGATTTTAAAAGAAAATCGATCTACGGGATGAACTATACCTTTTGAAATGACACGCATTAGTGAATGACCCAGTTGCATGTGATTGGTTAGCACGGCTAACGAATGGCTTTATACGTTGGAACGATCTATACTTACGAACTCGAGTTATGAAATGATTTATCGTGGACAGAAGCAACAAGCTCGCTCTCTCTTGCTTACAATTAGTTATTAAGCTACACAAAGTTTTGACATTTTCTTCCAATCCACGACGCGATATGTTTTTCTTTAATAACAATTGGAAATATATAAATATTACTTCGAGTTAAATAAGAATCTAATTTAGATTTGAAATGAAACTGCTCGATTTGTAGAAAAACTAAAGAATAAATAAATAAGAAATTTGAAGAAATATTTCAGCCTCTGTCCACGACGACTTTTGTCCGTTAATTAAACTGCATGCAACGTGAATGACAAAAGAGTAAAATAGAAAATATCAAAATATATCTATATATATATCGGACAAAACGAAAAATCCAAATGCGAGAGAAGAAGATAAGCCTAAAGAAAAATTTGTAGAAAACAAAACGTTGTTATTCTTTTCAGCGAGCTTCACCGGCGGCAGCGACTCGCAAAACTGAACGTGAACGTAAGCAAAAGATATAAATAAAAAAAGAAAGAGTGAGAGGGGAGAGGGGGGTGGGGGATGAGGGAGAGAGAGAGAGGGGGGAAAGAAAAGAAGAAGGAAAAATAAAATGAAAGAAATGATTAAGTGGGAAAGAAAGAATAGAAAGAAAACATACGAGAAAGGATAGCAACGCACGAGGACGAGGACACGGAAAGGAAAGAGGGAATGATGATGATGGAGAAGTTTACGAAGAAGCGAGCCAAATTCGATGAAATAAGAAGAAAAAGAGGGAGAAAGAGAGAGAGAAAGAAAGGTCCTCCGATGAGGAATACATCTCGAAATTGATTATTTTCTTCATATAATTAACGAAAAATATGAAACTTATACGATCGGCTAACAAAGGGCAGATGATCGGATATGAAAATAACGAAGAAAGGGAAAGAGAGAGAGACAGACAGAGGGAGAGGGAGGAAGATAAAGATAGAGATAGAGAGAGAGAGAGAGAGAGAGAGAGAGAAATCTTCAGTAAATGTAATAATCGGAAAGTTTTTTGTATTAACATTTTTCTGCGGTCGAAATAGCTTCGATTGAAGTACGATCTCTCGATAAGAGATTTTTCGCAAATAATGGAAAAGGGCCGCCGGCAGCTCCGAAAATGTTTAAACGACCTTCCTGCCATTTGTTCTTCTGGAAATATTTCCTACTCGGTCTCTTGTCTTCTTGCCTACCGCTCGTACACGTATCATATAACTGAAATAATAATAAGAATAATAATAATAAAATTAATAATAATAAAAATAATAATAATATAATAATAATACTTAATAATAATAATAATAGCAACAATAATAATAACAATAATAATAATAGTAATAAAAATAATTGTAATAATATAATAATAACTGATTTATTTTTAGCGTAAAAGGTCGGAGGATGTTTAAATAACGACAAATTGATTCGTCGCGACTAATCGAAACTTATTATACGTGGTTTCTTTTCGATGGGATAGGAAGAGAGATAATACAAATAAAAAAAAGTAGAGAGAGAGAAAAATTTCATATCGCGATGTTTCGTTTACGCTTGAGCATTTCCTTTCGTCCCTGGAAGGACTCCGATGAATCAATCAATCCAACCCGTGCGAAAGATAAATGTACTGTGTACAAAGAATAAAGGAAATAAAGACAACAAAATAGAGGAGAATAACCGTGGTAACGTTTGACGAAGCAAAAGGTATACAGGGTGTTCGTTAAAACTAGATAAACGTCTCACTTCGACGAAGGTAGAAAACAAGTATCGCAATACGTATGTATATCTTTAACACACGTCAAAGTGCGTGCGTGATGCTGAATTACATACCTACGGTTCTTTGTGTGTTACGTACTTTTCTATACGCACACACACATGTGTACATTAAACATAAGCCTCGCGACATTCTTGCTTTCTATGTGTATATCGAACTGTAAATAATATCATTTGTTCTCGCAAGAATATGGATAGAGAAAAATCATCAGTGATGAATAAACCTCATGTGCATCTTTTTTATTTTTTCCAAATATTTTCAAGGTTCATTCATGGGGATGTATAGAAATTAAAATTAGATTGTGATAAGAAAAAATGGAGAGATAGAAAGAGAGAGAGATAGAGAGGGAGATAGAGAGAGAGAGAGAGAGAGAGAGAGAGAGAGAGAGAGAGAGAGAGAGAGAGAAAGAAAGGACTCGTCTGCCTTCGTCGAAAAAAATGTCGTATACGTTTTCGAGCAGCCTGTGTCTCGTATATTCAAAATAATAAATTAAAAAAAGTAACTTAAAAAAGGTAAAAAGAAAAGACATATACATATACGTAAATACGTGCTGCAAATACATACTATACATACATACGCTGCCTGGCAAAAGTTTGATATCGCTTAATGATTTCATTAAAATTAAATATACCGATAAATTTTACAATGATCTATCGTTACTATATCAAATATTATTAACTTGAATTTTAGTTTAAGAAAATTCAATATTTTCTTACGTTCATAACGTTCTTTTATAATTTATACACCCAGTTTATAAAAGTAAGGAAGGTTTTTGTATAAAAAGTGCAATTTGAAGAAAAATATTCGTTGCTTGATAAAAAAAATCCTGTTTCTCTAAATATACGTAGACATTTCAAACTTTTGGCCGGTAGTATACATACACATATATACGTAGCGATATGTTTAATATAACAACAAAATTATCCACAGATATTATGCATACATGTTAATAATAACTATAATAATAATAATAATAATGTGTTACTTAATAAAAATAATAATAATAATAATGAACACGATAAAGGATAAAAATAAAAAAAAACATAATATATTATAAAATAATATTAATATATAAAAAGGATATAAATATAAACAATTCGAATCGATTGAAAAAGCAGCAGCAGCAGCTGCAAGATGTTTCAAATTCGACGATTTAAATGATAATACAAAGAGAAATTTGTCAGGGAGAGTGTCGTTTACAGTTTCAAGATTACAAATGTCACGCATCATTCTTCTTCATTGTCATTTTATAATTTCATCCAATAGACGTGCCCTCAGGTTTGAAATCGTAAAGGACATCAAACAGAATAACACATTCATATCTATATAAAAATTGATGATACGTTGACAAGATTAATCGATTCCGATATGCCGAGGAAATCGTTGAAATTATAAACGAACGATTTCATTGACGATCCATTTTCTTTTTTATCGCGTACAATTAATTATTGTTCAATGACTCGTCAGGATTTTGTCTTCCCCCGAAACAATTTTTCTTTCCTTATTAGTCGATAGAACGGATAATATTTTACTAAAATATTAAATTATGATCTCTCTCTCGATACCTATATATATATTTTATTTCGTGTTAAATGAAAGAATCGTTTCTCTCATGAATTTGACGCTCGTAATTGATCTTCCCGTTACAAATTTACCGAAAACATTGCATAAACGAACCTATTATACTTGGTTCGGTGAACGACGAGTGCCATTTTGAATCAACTTTCTCTCATCTTGGTCTCTTTTATATATTATAATATATAAATATACATATTAAACTCGAAAGATCGTTTTTATTTGAACGTCGATCAGGGTATTGTTCTAAAGAAAAAAAACAAAAGATTGTCTTACGGATAGGCAAAATTAAAAGGAGAAGAAACAAATAGATTTCTTTTTTCTAATATATATATATATATATATATATATATGTATAATATTAAATATCGTGCGAGGATATAAGATTTGGTTTTTCAATTAACGAGAGCAAACGCAGCAATAAAAAAAGACGAATGTAAAAAGAAGAAAATATATGATCGTGTTCGATTGCATATTGGGGGATCAGGGTGTGGGACCACAAGTTGTTAAAAATATAAAAACAAAAGTAATAAATAATACTATTTAAAAAAAAAAATAAAATAAAGAGTTAAATTACGTAAGAAAAAGTTTGTAACGTGGGAATCGATTGACGCCGATCGACGCAAACGATCTTTCATCTTATTTTTTTCTTTGTCTCTTTTTTTTCATTCTTTCTCCAAACTGTACAACAAAATGGCGCGCGCGCGCTCACGAACCCAAATAAATATTTTATTTTAGCGTTAAAACAACAAATTCTTAAATATGTCTCTGTAAAACTATAAACGTATTATAGTCAAATGCGATGCGGCATATTAAATCGTCGCATAATTAATTACCAATGGCGTTTATGATCTAACGAATATCCTGCTTTCAACATTGTACAGTATCGAATAAAAGTTACAGTGGGTAGTTTAAAACGAGCTAGAAAATGAAGAATGTAAAAACGGAATGAGAAACATTGTGGAATTTTACGTCCTTCTTTTCTTTATTTCTCTTTTCTTTTTTCATTTAATTTCCTAATTTTAATCATCAATTCGTAACGAGTCAATAAACGTTTTTCCTATACAAATAATGAATTAAAAGAAAAAAAATATACCGTTACATTCGATTTATTCAGATGAAATGATAATTACTCGAACAAAATATATAATATAGATATAAAACTGGTAAAAGTTTTCGTCTACGGAAGATTATTTTGCAAAATATTTAGCGCATAACATTTTGAAATTTAATTAAAATAACTTACAATTAGTACATTTATCAGTACAGTACGTCTACAAAGAAGAGGAGAGATCGTTCTAAAGTTTATTATATATGCATATATATACATATACAAATATATCTCTCGAATATATAGAGGAGGTAAGAGTACCGCTTTCGCTCTTATATTGGCAATGTGCATGCAGCATCATTATCACAAATATTGCCAATAATATTTATGTTCTTTGTGTTTTCTTTGTTCATTTGATTTTTTTCTTAATTAATCTATCAATGAATTTTCATTATCCGAATACAATGTCGATGTTAATCGATTCAAAAATATGTCCGTACACTTTATCAATTCGTTTATACGATAGATTACTATAATATATTTTGACGAATAACAATGAAATTAATGCATCACGTCCAATCGTAATTCATATCGAAGTCAGCACAACAACGATTATCTCTTTCTCCCTATTTTTCAATATTTTATTTGCGTGTGTGCTTTTCTTGTTAATTGTGATGTATCTATTTGAACCTATTACAGCAAACATATACATACATATATATATATACTATACCTATTATATTTTTCTTCATAATTTGTATCACTTTCTTTTCAAAGATATATTAAATCAGCTTTCGGTGTGGCCCTTTAGTATTAGATTTTTGGTTTGAACGGACTGCCGTGCAAGATTAAAAATACAAATGTTAAAATAAATAAATTGCATATAGAATTCATTTTGTAAGAGTAAAAAAAAAGAAGAAAATGTAATGTTTACGAACACGTTAGACGGAAGAATTTCTTTTTTTTCATTGATGTGCGTTGCGTGTTTTTTTGTTTTGTTACCCATGTAATAACATATATATTATTTATTTTCATTAAAAAAAAAAAAAGAAAAAATACCATATGACTCTTATCGTAAGTAGGTCTATCTTTTTCTATACACATATAAATATTATATAGAAATATTTACACATACCTTCACGATATACATAAAATCGGTAATAACCCGTGTCCACCTATGTGTCGCATATATTATATGTGTAAATAGGTACAATTAACGTTCCAATTGTTATATCTCTTCTATCCTCGAATGCATATTATGTTGTGTAGAGAAAAATTTAGAATAGTTTCATACATATAAATAGATATTAAATACAGTCGCATTAACAAAACGATGATAACTTTTCAGCAAAATTCATGCCAGAATCACCGCCACCGCCGCCACCTGCATACGCTTATCCACCGGCTCCCCCGCCAGGTGCACCAGTAGCAGCTGCTCCTGCCGCTGGTGCAGGAGGTGCAACTGCTGCAGGGGGTGCTTCCGCATCCCAAACTGCCGCTGCTGCCTTCGTTGGCTCCATCGATGGTAAACTTAGTATGATTTAAACAAAAGCAGCTCCCTCCGTTACGATCTTTAAATGAAATTAAAGCAACGGAAAAGAAACATAACAATAAACAAACAAAAATGATCCTCTAAAGATGATCGATCGATCTACATTTAAGGAAGGTAAAAATTAACAATAACATGCGATGAGAGAGCGCACGCATCGCCAATTAATTAAAAGATTACTATTTCTCCTCAACTTGGATTTCTTTTCATCGTGCAAAAGATCAATATACAATTCTTCACTTTTGCTAGACGGAAAATAAGATAAAAGTAGAGAAAATAAATAAAACGAAAAAGAGGGAAACAATTTCTATTTGAAATTGTAAATATCCAAGTTTGCCCTTAAATGGCTCGATATTAATATTTTCAAGAAAATAGTATCGGTTTGTGTAGGTGAACAAGTTATACGATCCAATTATTTCTATGTACTTATATATGATTATGAGAAACGAGTAATAATACGAAAGCTCCAAATGTGCTCTCCTACGTATGAATAGTAGTATTCCTATCCATATGCATCCACAGTATCAAGGAGTATGAGAACAAAAAACAGTACCTATACACATAATAATATTTTCCATTATGCGATATAAACGAATAATCGTGGGATCGCGTATATTTCAATATATATGTACATAAATGATGATGATGATGATGATGATGATGACGATGATGATGATGATGATGATGATGATGGTGATGATGATGATGATGATGATGATGATGATGATGATGATGATGATGATGATGATGATGATGATGATGATGATGATGATGATGATGATGATGATGATG